TACGCTTCCGAAAATTCTTCTCGATGATTTGGCATGTTGTTCGGAGACGATCGATTTGTTATTTTCGTCTCCATGAAATACTAACAGTCTCTGCATCAAAAGGCAAGAAAAGAGATTGGTTCTTTTTCGACGATGGTGATGAATTGCCACGTTATGTCCACCAATTCCGGCTACTACGTCGCCGCCGTCACTTGCTCCGGCGGCGGCGGAGCAGAAACGCCAGTGAAGTACGCGACGCTTCTTCAACCGGACGATAGCCTCCATATCAGTCAAGATTACCGCCTCGTCAGCTTCGAAGGTTTGAATATTTCTTCAAAGTTTGTTCTTTTTTCACGTTTTGGATTGAATCGATGGTGGTAGCCGGTTTTTTTGCAGAGGTGTTGAGGGAGTTGGGTTCGAAGAAGAGGGTGAGGCTGAGCCGGATTATTCAGAGGCGGAAGGAGAGGGAGGAGCGAAAGACAAGGGAGGGTGGTGCCGACGAAGTGGGTAATAGTTCGCCGGAAATGGTAAAGCTCGTCGTCTCTCACAAAGTGGAGAATAGTGCTATGAAAATTCTTGCCTTTTTTTTCCTTTTAAGGAATGACCGAATGAGATAAGATTTTTAAAATATTTATAAATAATAACAAGTTTTTGTCTTAAGTTGGAAATGTGGTAATAATTAACGTCATAGTATTTTTTAGAATTATAACTCAATTGCCTTAATGTTAATTGCTAATTATAAAAAAAATCAAATTCTGATATTATTAATAGTCAAGTTATTTGATATTCTAAATTTATAAAATATTTTATGTTGATTCAGATATAATTTAATTTAATTATAATAATAATAATCTAATCGATGTGTGGGTGCCCAATTTTATTTTTATTTTTAATATTCTCAGTTAAGTGGTATGTTTTTCTTTGATTTTTTCCTCTACTTGTTGAGCATTCTCGTTGATTTTGTCAAAATCGTTAAGTTTCACTTGAGAGATTTTCAAGTGTTTTCTATCATCTTCCTCTTATTAAGACCTCTTGTTAAGACCTCCTAATTACAGCACCACTACTGTAGCATAATTTCATCTGAAAATGTTCCACTAATAATGTTTGCCTGCATATTTTTTTCTGACATGTGCCTACTGAAATGCATTCTTAGGTCTTTTCCCTGTGCATGATCGATCTGATTAATTAATACTTCACAACCATCTAAGAACAAAGAAAATCAACAAGTTTATTTTATCACGTTAACTTTCATGAGTTCTCTCAATCCAATCTTAGAAGTTTTTGAGGACTGATAAATGTCTTCCCATGATCTACAGCTGCTGCTGGACTTGGCTTCTTTCAGTTCTGTAATCTAAACAGTTTGAGAACTTTGTTCGTGCTGGGCTTTTCTCTGTTTTTTGGCTTATCGATACCAGAATATTTCAAGGAGTTTCATGCAGTGTCTGGATATGGTCCCGTCCATACTCGAGCAAGAGCAGTATGTATTCATTTTTAACTTTTTCTTTCTTAGATACAGAAATCTCTTGTAAATCTGAATGCTTTAGCCACAGTAATAGCAAACCAGCGACTTAGGCTTCGATTGGGACTGCTTTCTTGCTGCTTCTTAAAGTGGCTTTAAGAAGCAGCAAGAAAACTGTTCCAAACAAAGCCTTAATAAATGCTTCTGCTTGAATTGTAAATCTTTCATCTGTGTCCTTGCAGTCCAATGATATAATAGATGTGATATTTTCTTCGCCAGCAACAGTTGCTGCTATGGTAGCTTATTTCCTGGACAACACGATCTTGCGTACTAACGCCGAAACCAGAAAAGATCGAGGTTGGCAATGGTGGGACAAATTCAGATCTTTCAAAACAGACACAAGAAGTGAAGAGGTTTATACCCTTCCTTTCAACCTGAACAAGTTTTTCCCTTCAGTCTAGTTTGGCAATGGCTGCAATGCTAAATCTGAATCTGCAAGCAATGAAAACAAACATTTTTCAAAGTCCTGAAGAATTGTTATGGAGAAACTTCCATTCCATCTCACACATTTGCATTTGCTTTCTGGGTTTTAGGTTTTATGGTAAATATTCCTTTTGCTGGTCTTTCTTTGTATTTGCTAGCTGAGGTTTATCTCCTCAGTAGAAATACAAGCTTTGATGATCTACACTTGTTTCTATATTATTTTTAAAGGGAAAGTTTCTATAGTATTTTGAAAGTCATCATATTTGAGAAGTTTTGAAGTACAACGGTCAAATCATATTTCAGAATATTTTGATGCAAGTCATATTAAAATATTTGAGAATCATTCAGATCATTTTGAGATTAGGGATGCTTACCAATTGATAGGAAACACTTGGAAATCTCAAAAAATTTCTAACAATCTTTGAAAAACAGCAAGAATTTTCCACAAAAATACTCAAAAAATCAGGAAAATAGTAGATAATTTGTATTATTTGATGAAATAGAAATGAAAAATACTAAAATAAAATTGATCCTCTAATTGGGAGGATGATCTATCTCTCTGAAATCTCTAAATGTCGCAATAGCCCCAAAACCTTAGAGATATTAACTTTTAGCCAAATTAAAGATGCTTTAACGGTTTAACTCTAGGAAAACAAACTATTTAATGCATACAATTCAAAAGGATGTCTCTAAACATTTCCTACATTCAATTTCCCATCTAAACCTCATCAAAATTCCTTTCAAAATTGCTCTTTTTGAATATGTGGATTGATCGTCATGCCTATAGGAGGCGGAGAACTCCGCCTTTGTAGTTCATAAGCCGCTGGACCAGTCTAACACAAATCTTACAGTAAATATGATATAATACCATATCTATTATAATTTTTATAAAGGTGATTGATTATGAAAAAAATTAACTTTTTTAAAAGCTATTATAAAAAACAGTTTCCTATGAAACTCAATTCCCAAGAAAACTTCAATTCAATCTCTTCAACTTGTTCCTCTAAATAGTTTCCTTCTTTATGCACAATATGAACTTTAATATTATAATCTGAAATTCTCTAAATACGAAAAGAGCTTACCATTATAATCAATAAATCATACTAATGTAACTTCTTTCAATTGGGCTTTATATATATATAAGTCAATTAAGACAAATATTAGTATATTTATAAGTCAATTAAGATAAATTTATACACAAATCACATACACGA